TTTTTTTTTTTTTTTAAGAATTTTGGTCTTTATACACCTTGTAGGTCCCCTAGCTGTCTTCATCAGCCTTCTTCACCCTTGCCTATCTTGGGTTTTGCTTTCCACTTCTGTAGCATCACTTTTGATTTGATCAATCCATCTAGAATTTCGCCTCCAAAGTGGTCTCTTACCAATTATTGAGGTATTCATTGTTGTGTTGAGGCCCTCTCCTTTATTTATCAGAAATTTCATTCCAGATTGCACTAATTACTGTTAAGATTTTCTCTCATTAATACTAATTTCTTCTTAGGATGCAGGTCATTGTCAAGGTCTCAAAGCCATATATCATAGCTTTGTAAATCCTTTATTTTTGGGGGATTTGAGGATTTTGGGGATACGTTTGAAAGAGAAAAGAAAGCTCATCTAATATGATATAAAATAAGAATAAAATTGTAATGGTTCTATTGTTTCTTTATTAGTACCAAAACATTTCTATTTAAAAAAATAAATAAAATAACAACATTTTAATATTTAGTTAAGGTTAAGATTCGTACAGTTGAATGGCGGCACCAGGGGCTCACACTTCCAGCTCATCAAAAAATCTACCAAACGAAGGTTCCATTGGCTTAGTCTGGCTATATTTGGTACCTCTAATTTAAACACAAGTTGGATAAAATACCAGATGACCTAATGTCTATCTTAAATGTTTATCCCAGATGACCATAAAAATTTTGAGACATGGCTAAGATAATAGGGACTTATCTTAGCCATGTCTCAAATGGGGATGGCCTTATCTTAGCCATGAGGGGAAAAAACTTTGGACAGATGATAACCTTATCCTTATGACTTTGGAGTCAAAACTAAAAAAAAATCAGTATAGAAAGCTCAGAGAAAAATCATGAAATGAGAGTAGCAGACGTACGGATTTTTTTTTTTTTTTTATATTTGGATTCTGTTTACTTTGAAACGATGTATTCTATTTTTTTTTTTTCTAAGTCAATTACAGAGGTTCACTATATCCACTAATACATATATATATCACTATATCAGAGTTCCACTAAGTTCCAAGAATCATCCTGGGGATGACCTGTGAGACCGGTTGCCAAATCTGAAAACAAAATCGGACCAGTAGTCTGAGAGGATGGAATAATAAACCAAAAATTTATAAAATGAAATATAAACTTAAATCTTCTAAATAATATACAAAGGTAATAATTAAGTATATAAACACATATTTATAACAATTATTTTTTATTATTAACTGAATAGATGTATAAATAAGACAAAGTGATGTAATACTATTAAAAAAAGTTCATTTTATGTTCCAAAGAAGGAATCAGAGTTGGGTTCCTTCTATGAATAATAAAAGTAAACTTCTGCTTATACCAGACAAGTTCGCATATAGATCAGTCAATGAATGTCCCTAGAAGGTCACTTTTTTCGAGTTTTCGCTTATATATCAGGAAAACTATCCATAGCATCGACAAAGACGTATTAAAGCTGATAAAATTTACAATATGATTGATTATATCATTTTTTTAGCTATCTTGTTAAGTTTTCGAGATATCCATCCTCAAATATCACTAATGTGGAAAAAGAAAATTGTCGCCTCATATTGTATTTGACTATCTAACTCTTGATTGTATCATTCTATGATTAAGTCATGACAGAAGAAAGTTTCTAATAATTAAATTTTCTTCAAGAATATATATTATTTTACTAGTTTATCTTCTATAGTTCAAAAGTTAGACCAATTATAACTTTATTTGTCAATTTTAAGAATTTGCAGCAAAATTTATTTTTATAATAAATGATATTGAATGTATGTATATGTTTATTTATATATATAGATACATATTTGGATACATGCATAGAGATTTTGATTTATAAAGAGTTAGAGCAATATAATGTAATTATTTAGTTAGTAAAAAAAAAAAAAAATAAAAATAATTTTTACTACAACCTTTTGGAAATGACAATTGATCTTACTTTTGAACCATAGAAGATAAGATAAACTAATTAAATAATATTTATTCTTGAAGAAAATTTAATTATTAAAAACTTTCTTCCCCATGACTTAATCACAGAACGAGGAAATCAAAAGTTAGATAGTCAAATACAGTAAAAAACATGAGTTAAACAATTATTTTTTCCACATTAGGGATAGTTGAGGAAGGATATCTCGCAAACTTAGCAAGGTAGCAACAAAAATTATATGATCAATGATATTACAAATTTTATCAGCTTTAATTTTCTATACAACGTCTTCGTCAATGCTATGTATAGTTTTCCTGATGAAAGCAAAAACCCAAAAAAAGTGACCTTCTTGGCATGCTCCCCACATCTGGCTCACCACCTTGCAATGGGGACTTTTAGTATGTTTACCTCCTTAATAGTCCAAACAATGTCCCAAAGTCAAAAATTGTATTCCCACCATTTATTTCTACAATCATTCATTGACTGGCCTAATAACTGACATATTACTAATGCCCTATTGTGCTTTTATAAAACACATAACAATATATAAATATAACTGAGTCAATTCAGATTTTAAGGTACGGACTATGGATTATTCTTAATGTGAATTCACTTAAGAGTGTTATCATGAATAACACATTTTTATTATATTAGTACTCAATAAAAACAACAATTCAAATTGTATATCTCATAAAATACAGGATTTTATTACAGAAACAAAACTATAAAATTAATAACAATTAATGATAATTTCACTCTTGATAAGAATATGAAGGAAATATCTTATGTACATATTAAGAAAATGAATAAAAATAAGGTGAAACAGGTGGTATATAAACATTATAACATGTGAAAACCATAAAAATTTATAACAAGAAATAAAATAAAAATTTAATTAGACAATCTAATAATATTTCCATAGAAACAACCATACAGTAATTAAGAACTACATTATTCTCACGATATAAATAAAAAAAAACAGAAACGTTGAGTAGATACTTAACTTACACAACATACAATTAGTCAACAAAAACAAAAATAATAAGGGTTAAGTAGCCAATTGTTTTATCTGACACAAAAATAGGAACATTTAAATACTTTTTCTTAACAATTATAATTATTTTTATAATAAATCCTTCAAATGTAATTAATAGTAGCTGAGAAAAATTTGCTGTAAAGCCAGTACAAATTTAAAACATATTTTTTTAAGTCAATATTTAGATTTAACCAAAAACGTGTGCTTTATGCCTACATGTGTTTTTAAGTGTCCTTTATGTTTTGCTTTATAAGGGCAATGTGGGCACTGAAACTGCGGCTCTACACCACATTCATATTTCTGATGCCTTGAGAGGCCGTGAGGGTAACGGTACGACTTCAAACAGTTAGGGCAATGATAATCTTTAGTAGCTCTTCGAAACTTTTTTATGTACTTTCCTAAAAAACAACCTAAAACATTTTTATTAATTAGAAAAATTTATTTTTTATTTTTTATAAACTAACTCTAAGTAATTTACACATAATTTTTAAAGTTTAAAAAAAATAAAAACCAACAAAAATATTATATAACATCATTGACTATAAGTAATTTATACATAATTTTTAAAGTTTAAAAAAGATAAAACCCAACAAAAATATTATGTCATATCTTTGATAGCCTAACTTGATAACTTTGCACCTAACTTTTTTTTATCATAATTTATTTTAATAAAATAAAAAAATGGTGAAAATATATATTAAACTTATTAACAGAGTTTTAATCAATTATTAAGCCACATAGAACTTTCAGATTAGAGGTTTTCATTCTGAATAAAAAATAATAATAATAATAATAAATTACAGCAAAATAATCAATTACAAGGTTATCACGTGAGGTCATCATGATATTAAATAAACTAAAGTATACAAATAAGCATCAACTATTTTATATGATATCAATTACAAACAGTAATTACTGATATTAAAATGAAGCAAGAAGTTCTGAAGTTAATTTAAACAATTAAAATTACAGGAGCTAATACTGCTTCTGTCATACAACCCGTTGTAAAATTAATGTGTTTTTTTAAAAACCAATTATCATTAAAAGAATAAAATACAATCTCTGATGAGTAAAAATAACTGATTTTATTAATATTTCAATCTTAAGCTTAATTATCAACAGGCTAATACAATGTATAATTAAAATATATAACTTAAAATATAATCTTAAAAATAACCAAGTTATTACTGATTAAAAAAAACAATATTGATATCATTTATGAATGAAACATAATTTTTCTTTAAAAAAATTTAAAGCTTTAGAAATGATGAATAAAAGAGAAAATAATAATAACTGCTTTTCAGAAAATGACTGATGGCATTAGATATGTCAGGGTCCTTCATTGGAATTTAAACACAATAACATCAATGCATTGTCTATATAAAATATGATTCTAGTTTATGACCAGTGAAATGCTAGAACTACATTCAATACTGCTTATAGTGTAGTGGCTAACTAAAGCATCCCACCTCCCAATTCTTGGATTTAGGTTTCATTTTCAATAAAAATTATTTTATTTTCTATGTGTTATGGATCTACTCCATGATTGGGTATCCTCCAGGGATACATCCAGCAACTAAAAAGTGTAAAGGACTTAATCCTACAATGGGTTAGGAGAAATCTTGGCTGTTGAGCTTGATACCAATTACCAAGCATATTTAGTTCATGGTTTTCTAAGGATTTTTTTTAAAACAAAATAAATCTATCAATTCTGTTTATTAGATACCACTGTAATAACTCAATAGCTATGATCCAAATAACCTTTTTCATACAAAGAGCTAGAAAATTTATCAAACTGAACTCAAAGCCAACCGCCATCACTTTTAGCAACTACCAACAAAGTAGAGCAAGCGCAAGTTATTGAGTTTTTATCTTTATCGAAGTTCATGGATTTTTAAAAACAAAATTACTCACTTCTCACTAAGGATTGCAATAAATATATTTTAACTTGATTCATTCAGGATAGTTTTGAGCATCAGGGAATCAGAAAAGAACCAATAAGTCTCTTCCTAATAAACATTTTTATTACTTTCTATATACATGCCAGAAGATAACTATTTATTTATTATAAATTTAGTATATTGCATTACAACTTTTCAACTCAATCTATCAAATAATACAAAACAGATAAAAAAAGAAAATTGTTCCCAAGTTAAAACCAAACTTCAATGGAGCAGAGGTTACAGGATTAATTAGCAGACATGATAATTATAAAAAGCATATGCAAGTCTGAAAAAAAATGAAAAAAATATATACATGAGCTCAAAATTATTGTAGCTTAATAACATTTTAAGTTTAAATATTCAACATAAAATCCTAAAAAAATATAATTTGGTCAAATGTAGGAACAGAAATATAGTAAGTAATGTATATCACTGACTCAGATGAGTCTATATTAAATATAAATTCATCTGAGACTTAATCTATTTGTACCAATCAAAGAAAAAAAGCTATTTTCTAAAAAGACATAACATCTTATTTTTTGTAATAATAATCAATAACTAAACAGCTAATATTTAATTATAAAACTATGTAAATGTTGTTTACCACATTTTTCAGTTGTTTTGAAATCCATTATAGACTGATCAACACATTCATAATTTTTCTTCACTGAAAATTAAGAAGATATTAAATGTACAAAACAGTTGAGCTTCTTGAACAATTTTATTTTATAAGTGGCACATGCAGATCTATTTATAATTGTGTTTCAAATAAACTTACCTAAATATAAGAAACCCAATCCTGTCAGGGCATTAGCATAGCTAAACAAATTTTCAAAGGGGCAGGCACATACCCTATGTTGATAGTTACCACCCAAGAATAAAAGATTAAAAACAATATTTAATTTTAAACCAAAGTTTAACACAAATTAGGGTACAGGATTGTTCAGTGGGCTAGGTGCTTTGTTCCTATCTCTAGGTTTGAGCCCATCAGTGGCAAATAATTATTTATTCTCTCAAATCAGAAATAAGAGATTTAAATTGACTCTTTAGTTTTTAATATTAAAAGCAGTAATGCTACAATATATTTCTTTTTTGTTTCATATTTATATCACTGAACAAATAATTTAGACAAGAAATATCAATTTATAATGGTGAACATCACTTCTAACTGCTAACTATAACCAGGAAAGGATAATTCTGTTTCAAACACAAAATTGTCAATATTTATAGAACAGGGCATTGGCAGCTTATTATTTTCAAATGCCTATAAAAGTTATGATTTATGTTAAATTAAAGATTATTATTTATACATTTATTTAAGTATATATATAATATTACAAAACCGTGCAGCACGCTGGCAGCCACAACAATACTGCATCCCAGCAAGGATCAGGTTACTTTTTTTTTTTAACGGACAAGAATCCCATTATTTATTTAAGAAAACAGGGATTGAAACATATTGAATAAAAATAATAAACAGAAGCTATTGTAGTTTATTAAAATGTAGTTTAGTGACCTATTATCCAACTATAGTAACTATCTTAAATTATAAATATATATATATATATATATATATATATATATATATATAAATATATTATTTTTTAATAGCAATTTTACAATAATTTACGAACTGGTCCTCCGATAACTAAGCAGGTTTGAGTCAAATTTCCATGGACCAGTTATACCGAGAAATAGGTGTTGGCAGGTTATAATCTTTCCATTATTACTACCATCCTCAACAAAGATAAGTCCCTAAAATTTACTAATCAATATTCACATGTGGCGCTATTGTTTGTAAGTGACTTTATTTATTCAAACAAAAATGATATGCAAAAACTCTTATCAAAGGAAACTAAATCATAAGACTATTTTTTAAATGCTTTTCACCTGCAGAGATTGAGATGTTTTAGACCTATGTGATTCTTCAGGTGAATTTTTTGTCTTGCCTTGTAAGGGCAGTGAGGACATTGAAACTGGCGCTCCATTCCGCATTCGTATTTTTGGTGTCTCCTTAGCCCCGTGTAATATCTGTAGGATTTAAAACAAGATCTACATTGATGAATTTTCTTCATTCGATAACCTAAAACACAGAAACATATATAAAATTATGAAAAAATTAGTTATTTTACCTAACAATACCAAGACAAGTGAAACATAACATTTTTCCTTTATCTTCCTCATCAATTCTTTGCATAGCGCCTTACAAATATTTTTGGAATTCACCATCAGTTTCAACAAAAGGCAATGATAACCTGATGAAACATAAAGTTTGTTTTTTAATTAAATTATTTCAGTAGAGTTTTTCCTTTCTCATCCTGGCAATAAATACTGATACCACCTTCCTTTTATTTTACACATTTTGGCATAAAACCTATGCAGTTATGAACAAAAAAAAAGTCTAAAAATCTAAATTCAGCCAAACTCTCAAAATCATTTTTAAAATTTATAGAACTAGAGTAAACAATAGAATATTCAAAATTCAAATTAATGAAATATGTTTAGAAAAACTATGCCATTATATAAAAAAGTCAAGAAAATAGTTCCTAAAATGATTAATTGCATGATCTCTCAATATGCAAAAAATGTCAAATAATTAAAAAGTCTCAAATAATTATTATTTAGGAGACAAATTTGTGCACAAAAGGATTAGCAGGGCGCATGTTTTTTAACAAAATATTTGCTATTATAGTCTATACTTCTAAAACTTTTACTATGAACAATCAGGTGGAAAATTAAAGTATCTTCTATAATTATTAATTATCAGGTCAAAAACCAAATGTTGAAAAATGACATTTTTTAATTGTGATACATGTGCGAAAGAAATAAGTCATATGTACACTAATAGAAACAGAAATATAATTTTTTTTTATTTATTTATTTTTGATATGTTGTGCCATTTGCACTAATAGAAACAGAAATATAATTTTTTATTTATTTATTTATTTTTGATATGTTGTGCCATTTGCACTTGCGCTGCAGCACACCTAGTAAATTTGATATATTAGAAATTAGTTGTGAGTTTTTTTGATTAGCTTCATTTTGTATTTATTGTAGTAGGTTCCTCGGTCATTTTCTTTTTAATCTGTGTCGATCAGGTAACAGGGAGCAGGAAATAGAAAGGACTAATGGATTGAAGTAATTTAGAATTGAAGAGTTAAATGAAGTGTATTTGCTGTGGATCTAGGATTTTACTGTTGGGATGTTCAAGTCAATATGTATAGTATTATTTAAAATGTAGCAAGGTGCATTGACAATTTTTTGTAGAATTTTTTATTGTGTTGTTTGTACTTTGTTTATGTGTGTTTGTTTTGCCGAACTCTAAACTTCTGCTCCGTAAGTCCAAATTGGTCTCAGTATGGTGTTGTAGATTAATAGCTTGTTTCGTAAGAAAAGTGAGTCTGGAAGATGAGTGTAATCTAGAAGATGTGAGAGTTGGTTATATCGTCAAGTCAGTTCTTGTCTTTTTAATTTAGTATATATGTTCCCGGTAAGCCTTTTGTCTAAGTAGAGTCCGAGGTACCCTACATAGTTTTTTGAAGGTGGACATGAGGATTTCATAAGAGAGTAAGTCACGTGGGTAGATTTGTTACTATTGATTTTAATTTTCCATTTTGCAAACCAATTTTGAAGATCATAGAGGTAGTTTTGAAGGGCAATTGATGCGATAATAAGATTTTTGTGGGAAGATAGAATTGCAGTGTCGTCAGCGAAGAAATAGATGGTGGTGGGTGCTCAGAGATATCAGAGAATCAGATTTAGTGTACGTCCTTGTTGGTCTCGTGGAATGCCAAATGGCATCTTGTAAACCTTTAGTTATGTGGTTGACTGCATTGTCGAGGTCGTCAGCTGTACTAATGAAATTGTTAACGTAATTTTGTAATTTTGGAGTTCATAAAATGTTTGAAGTCGTCCCAGTTTATGTAGCTGTTAATTAATGTCAGGCAGGGGTTTAAGTTTAACATAAGGATTGTTTGATAGTTCAAGTAAAACTGGGCTATGATCAGATGAAATATAAAATTGTTTAAGAAATTATTATAGAGAACTTCTAAAACACGAACATATAAAAGTTGCATATAATTATTATTATAGTTTTTATGTTTCAAAACCACAAATTCAATGGAATACAAAAATGGTACAGTTTGTGAAACAGGAGAATATTTGGTCATCTTATTATTATTAAAATAATAGCTGAAATAATTCTTATTTTTTTCTTACTTTTCTTACCAGAAGGAATAGTGTTAGGACAAACAGATCAAAGTTTCAGAGCTTTCTGACTACAAAAATTAATATTCAGCGGCTGATATGCAACATATTGTGGCTATGCTATGATCTCTCGAATGGGTTACAGATTTTGTTGTTTTTTGTTTTATATGATTGTTGTTTCATCCCCCATTCCCATCAAAGAAAAAAAATTATATAGAACCAAAATTAAAAAAGATAGAGTTTACTGAATCATATACCAATGCTTTTTAAAACTATTTTTTGAGGATATTGATGGCTGACAGTGTAGTAAAAGTATAGGTCTAGAATAGGGATCTCCAAACTTACAGGCCTGCGGGCCATAATTTGGGGACCTCTGGTATAGCATAATATATAAAATAGTTGCAACTATTTAATTGATACTGATTTCAATCCGAATTATAATTATTCATTAGGGCTGAATAGAGAGACACAGAAGCATACACTCTTTTCAGCGTACACCACCATAATCTCCTCTTCAGCTCTTATGCAGAACTAAACTTCAGCATTAATAAATAGTTCCAACTACACAGGTTACTAATCACTACATCTCCTTACTTTTGAAGTATTCTATGCATCTTCCCATTAAGGATAATTGGGTTAAGTGCACAATCATCTCATTAAACCAAATTCTAAACTGGTAGGTAAAATACAACACAATAATTGCTAGCTGTTTTTTCTCTAATATTGATCCAATAAAGATTTGTTTTTTAAAGTTTAACTTTGTAGATAATTTAATTATTTCTCAAATGAACAACTGGTATATTCAGGAAGATATATAGTTTTTAAGTCCTAAAAAGTAGAGTAATATGTTACAAGGATAAGTAGATGTAATAATCAAAAAAACGTTTTTCTTAAGAGAGTAGAAAATAGATGCCAAAAACAAATCTTAATGTGACCAATATTAGTCAAAAACAAGGTCTTCTTCAGGGGTGCTGCATGCACCTCCTCCTGAAAAAGACCTGCGAAGTTGGGTCAAAGAGTCGGCTCTAAATAAAATAGTTTTTCCATTAGTTTAGTCTCTTAATGACCGACACCCCGGACCATCTTCTTACAAATTTTAACTATGTTTCTTCTCTCTATGTCCAACAGTACTGTACGTTTGCCCTACTGTGTACTTGGAAGAATGCAGCTTTTCATTTAGAATCCATTTTTGCCAGCAGCTTAATTTTTAAAAATGTGACACATAAATATTTCCACTAATCTTTCAATTTTAAATATCACTCATTTGCTACATCAACACTGTCATCTCTCGAAAATCATGATTTTTTAGTTAAAATTTAAAAAAATTGAAAGCCTTGATACAAGACCAGATTTGTACAAAATATTTGTTTCTGATTTTGTATTCTTTTGGACTTTATTCAGTCAATAAAATGAATCATGTTATTAGATGAGGATATTTTAAACACCTAAGATACTGGTGCGAAGATGTTGACTTTTATTGAAGGGAGAGAGGGGTGAAAAAAGGGACAGCAAAATAAAATTGGCAAAAATTCTAGTTCTGGCCATCATTCAACAAATCAGATTGTCCAGTATTAATCTTGTTTTTTCCTCCAAGATATTCCTGGAGGACCTATTAACATTGGTGTCAAAATAGTTTTATAGAATTTGCCACTACATTACTTGCAAAATGGAACATTTTCAGTTATGATACTGTTACAGCAAATGAGCAATATCTATACAAAAATATTCTGAAAATTCACATCTTATCACATTGTCTTAAAACATATATCAAATTAAAACAACCACTTTGCGAAAATAAATTTAATGAATAAAAGGCAAGTTTGATTTAATAGGCATTAATTACATATAAAAACAAATGTCTTAATTGAAAGCATGAACATACTTCAAAAGTTTTATTCTGATTGACAATTTTTCAAGTACCATAATAAAAGAATAATTCTGCAACTGTTAAGGAGTGATTATATATTTTACAAAAGAAACTATGTAAAAACTTAGTTGACTTGCATATTATTTATTGATTAACATAGAAACAAATAATTTTCATAATAAAATTTAACATCTTCTTTTAAGAATACAAAATAAAATAAATGGGTACTTTATATTTGTTTGGAAAATTAAATCATTTCATAACTGCCACAAACATTTTTACTATTTTATAGAATTGTGCTTTTCTTCCTAAAATTTTAAACTTATAAGATGCTTTAAGGCTACATGACTTTTAAGATGAACTTTTTGCTTTGCTTTGTAAGGGCAATGTGGACACTGAAATTGAGGTTCTTTGCCACATTCATATTTCAGATGCCTTCTTAAACCATTTGAATAGCGATAAGCTTTTAAACAAACATCACACTGATTACTTCCAAGAATTCCACCTGTAATACATACCATTACTGAATTAAAGAAACATAATTAGCAAAAAAGCAAAAGGATTTCTATAAAAGATTTTAAATAGCTACTTATAAAAATATATTTAACACATTATATAATATAAGTATAATAGGAAATGTATCAACAACCAAAGATTTATAGGCTTGTAAATAATCTAAATCTTTTTCATATACCATGTATTATTTATATATATATATATATATATTTCAAATTGGACACTCAGGGGACCAAGCATGGTCATTGCCAGCATGGTCTCTCCATTCCAATATTAACTTTCTTCATTTTGATTGAAACCTTTTTCATTTCAACTGTAAATTTATCTATTTCGATTGACAGAATTATTACACAAATATTATTCAAAAGTAATTATTTTAATTTAAATAATGACCTAAAATGATTTCAGTATATTATTCTTCTTATGTTTTTTCTTGATAATAAAAGAAATTTCAAATTTCAACTACCTTGTTACAATATATTTCAGAAAAGCAGGTTGGGAAATTTAGTCAATGAAAGAACAAAGTAAAAATAAATAAATTATGTTTATTTTTGTCCTTTGTGCCAACGTTTCGACCTAAGTTTCAGGCCATCATCAGGGCTGTTCATTTAAAAGGGTGTTCAATGAATTGAATGGAAGATTTGAAATCAGTCGAAAATCTGGCAGGTCTACTAATGACACCTTCATGTAGCTTCATTTTGTTTTCTATATTCTTGGATCTTTGATTGGATTGTAAAAGTATGGAGCAGAAAGATAGCAAAAGGCATAAGAAATTCAGGGAGAATGGGTAACAATGTAAAAGATATTGCCAATAAGAATTTGGCAAGGAA